ACTTTAACAGCGTTAACCAGCTGATCTTTGTAACGGAGAAGCGTTGCGTTTTCTTTGAGGTACGGATTTCATCCTGAAAAAAATTATTTCGACGAACTTCGGTTTCAAAGGGTTATGTAGATTTCGATATGATAATTGATCAAATCAGATTACTTAAAAACCTTCCATGTATCACAACTGTAGCAGACCTATAAATATTTTAACACATTTCCGAAATGGTCCATATGAATTTATGGTTATCAACGTCATAAGTTCGAATCCCAAATCTACCGGAAAACCACCATAAACGAGCGTGCTTTACACATCATTATCCCACAGTCATGACTCGTCACACAGTCACTAAAAGCAAATTCAAGTTGTTAACAGTGAAGGAGTTAAAGAGAAACTGATGTAGTAGGCATATATATGCCAGTATAGGGCTATTAAAATTCAGTCTCAGCATGAATTCTAGCCACCGGGCATACTCTCCTTTCAAATGTAAATGTCCCTGTAGTCCCATGTATAAAATAAATACTAACACGTAAGATCTGAGGTTCTTGTGGCGAAGATGTTCTCCCGGGTTGTAACTCCGTGTGAACTTGTAGGTAGATATCAACGTTTCGGAGAAACATGCCTCCGCCTTTAGAGGATGGAGACAATATATTTCTTCGAAACATTGGTAACCCAATCTTCAGAATATGGATACAGTACGTTCCTCCGAAGCGTTGGAATCTACCTACGAGACCACGCGGCACCAAAACCTACAAGATCAACATCGACAAAATACTAAATTATCGTAAGATCCAAGAACTTCCTATTTCACCAAAGTAGTCAACTAACGGAATTAATAGGTGCTAAAATTCATTAGTATGTTTTCTTCTATCATAAAATTTGACAGAGAGGATCAAGTTTACCATTACCGTTACATGCACAGCACAGTCGATCATACAAAATTTGTTACTGGAACTCGCGTGAAATTAACAGGAAACATAGAATGCTCAAATATTTCTCATATCATCACGGAGACGTGAAATGAAACCAGTGTATACTGACCACATCACAGTAATATCCAATGGGGGTAACCAGTTGGTTTCAGACTACAGCATTCAGACAAGGTTTTGTGATCTTCTGTCTGATGTAAAAAGAAAAATTAAACTCTGTATAACGGACTTCACGTTCCATGATAAACATATCCACATCCAAATATTATCCATATTCACAAAAGAGAAACAAGATGAGATTTCAGGTTCTCAAGGCGACTAGTATAAAGACGGCTGTCTTCCGGGATGCTGCGCAGTGTAGTCTGGCAGAAAATGATCGACGTTTCAGAGGAACTGACGAAACCGCTAAGTCCTCTGAAGGCAAAACGTAGAATTGCCTATTGTCAAACAGGTGGCACATACAGTTAAAACACAGACTTTACAGAAATAAACCAGAAAACAACAAAGTGTAAAGAGGTCCAGTGCTTCGGCAAGCGACTATACAGCAAGCGGATGCCACATGAATACAGATGAGAGTGTTGCTAATTGAAACGACAGGAACGACGACGGCAGCACACGACAATGAATGGGACCCCATCCAGCCAACTAGCCTCCTCATCTGATGTCGCCTTCCTTGCCCGGGAAGGGATCTTCCTCATTCCAACGCCACACACACACCAGGCCATGCGATATGCGCCAGAACCTGAAAAGTCTCTCTCTACCACCACGCGTTGCATTAGCCATTTATACAAGTCACCCTCTAGACCAGTGGTATTCAACCTTTTTTGTTCGCGTACCCCCCATATATAATTTCTCTTCAACTTTGTACCCCCAAAGTTGTTGGTGTATAATTCAAGTTATACATAGTATATAATCTACATCTAAAATAAATTACATTACTGATTATTCAGTGTTTATCATAAAATAATATTGTTTTTAAACTTCACGTACCCCCTAAGATGTCCTCGCGTACCCCAGGTTGAATACCACAGCTCTAGACGAACGCTCTGGACTGACCCAAACGTTATTAAAGTTCAATTTCAAATTACAACGGCGTCAATTTATGGGGAGGGGGAAAACTTCTCGATATTTCTAATGCGGTTAAATTATTATTTTTAGAATGTATGTATATCATGGTGCCCGCACAAAATCTAAATTTATATTTCGGTTTGATGCCGGTAACTACTGACACACTGGATCATGAAATTTGGTACGCGGGTATCATAGATAATAAACAACATGGCCACAAGTTCTATATGAAATGTTTCTCCGTGTAAGCTTTGCAAACCTGATGACGAAATGAAATTCTGAGGCTGCATCTGACCCATCTGACGCAGGTCTATTTGAAATGTGTAATGCACAAAAACGAATCACTGGTTGGGAGCGGGCGGTTGGATTTTTCGTGGTTTCCTTCGTTCCCTCTAGGAAATTCCGGGGAAGCATATTAAATTAGGCCACGACCTCTTCCTTCCACATTCTTTTAAACTCATTTCTCCTTCATCATCACAATCCGTAAAGTTTGAGCAACTGACTGCAACAGAATTTATTGGACGGCTCAGTATCAACTTTCCGATACACAAATTGCAACACGGACTAAAGTAGTTACTTGGTTGGTAAATAAAAGAATCTTTGTAAACTCGTAATAAAAAGTTATAAAATGTATTATTTGTTTTCTCGGGCCTTAGTGTTTCTATACAGTTGAGTACAACCTGCGTTTCAAGCCTGTTTTAGTTACCAAGAGGTTATTTCAAGAACAATTTTCTTTGTTCTAAAATATCTCTTAAAAATCTATTCACACTTTCCTAACATTCACAGTATCATATACGCTGGAAAAAATTGCGGGCCTGCAGTAACTAAGTCAGTGAAGTTTGCTAATAACATACCGGTAACTAATTTCCGGTTTCGGATGGTAAGTCATCTGCACATCGAAAGGTAATTAAGACAGCCATTGTAGCCGACTAAGGTCAGAGCCAGAGACAGCCACCTCACCCCACGTGCATTGAGCATCCTCTGTGTATCAGACCATGAGCGCATGACATACGTACCATTCTCTATGTCTTATAAGCTGTCAAGTCACTTATTTAGTGGCAGTTGCGAGCCTCGCCCACACGAACCACATGTGACCAGCATTCGCAATTACAAACATTAGCATGGGACGGTACAGGGCTTTGGATGTGTAGCCGCGACATCCTTCTCGTTTATTTGCCTTTTTATTTTTAACCATATCTCACGAACGAGTCCGGAATTATATCCTGTTATTTTCTTTATCACACAGAGGGAAAACGATAATTACTTCGCAACATTTCAGGTTCTGATGAGGCTGTTTTCTAGGTTGTTGCACCGTGTGGTCTGGTAGAAGTTTGCCGACGTTTTAAAGGTGTTTGCTTCAATCAGACCAGACGGCATAACATAATTGAATAAGGATAATTCTCCCACAAATATAAAATTCCATCTCAGCCCGGATATCAGCTATCCTGACTGGTTCTTCGTGGTTTTCCTCGGTATTTTCAAGGCAAATTCCGGTAAAGTGCCTTAAATTAGGCAACGGCGGCTTCCTTCCAAAAAAAAACCCCTTCCAATTAACTGCTCGTTTATCATCCGACACTACACAGTCAGTTACTGACAGAGTTCGTTAAATAACCCACAAATAAATAGAGAACTCCAATGACGTAGTTGGTGTTGCTGGCGTCTAATATGAAACGATTCATCCTGGCGTAACGACAAACTGCATGCGCCTCACGTCCAAACGACCCTGATCACAAATACGATGCATGTTGGTGTTAGCCTGCTGATGAATGTGATGAGCTCAACGAATGCTAACATCAAGTGAAGTAATAGACTAATAAGAAACAAAGACACTCATATCATGAGTAAGCAACCAGACCCCACTTCAAACATGTGAACTATTTTTAAAACATGTGCTGGCTAATTGTGCTAGTCATGCGACAAACCTAAGGATGAATACTAAAAATCAAGCCCTTCAACTAGCGGGAACGAAGCAAAAATAGTGCGCACTTAAAAACACTAATAAACGTCTACGCACACAGAAGTCCATTCTCAAACACTGCTCATTGTACAAAAAACGTAAAGTAAAGTTTGTCCCACTATACGCCATGTAGGCGTTTGGGGTGAGAGGAGGTATAGCTCCTCTCTTCCTTGACCTCGGCACTAGATGGGGGTGAGTGGTCAGGGTCACGCCCCGGCCGGCTTTACCCCTGGGAAAGGACCCCGGTACCCATTGGATAGGAGGCTGGGTGGGCCCCAGAGCCGGTCTGGACGCAGAGGCTAGAGGAAAAATCCTCTGCCCCCGTCGGGGATCGAACCCCGGTCGTCCAGCCACTATACTGACTCAGCTATCCCGGCTCATATACAAAAAACGTACAAGGTATAAAAACATTTACTTATTTATTTATTACACGTGTACTAATTCAGGTACTTCCTTTAACGTTGAAACCCAAATCGATACTTCTGTTAGGAACAAGATATCAACTCTAGCACCTACGGACCAGACATAAAGCAACTATAGATGTTCTTATAAACAACATAGATTTAATATGCGAACCATACAAGAGCCGATCAGAACGTGAAGTTAAGTGTGCAACGGGCAAGACAGGCATGACAATAGCTCATTATGAACTCGTCATGTGGCATAAAAGATGGGGCGGAGGAGGTGACTCCAGAGAGACGAGGCTACTAACAATAGATGAGGAGCCTTACTCCTTGTTCGAGAACGATGGTAATTATTACTTACGTACGAAATGTATTACTAGGGCCATTCACATTTTCCTTTGCTTTCACTTCCGTAATATGGTGGAGAGAGATCCGACGAAGAAAATTCGCCTAGCAAAAGGCTTGTCTACACTTAACTACATAGCACGCGTGACTTTAATGGAGAGGTCCGGGTTCATTCTCAGCCGACAGAAACTACTGATGAGTTTTACAGCTTTCCTAAATATATCCGACAGAAACTCTTACCCGACTTGGCAAAAGAAACAAAGCTTTAATTTGTTAAAATGGTTTAGTGGGAAGACAAGTTAATGGTACGAATTACTACATCGATTTATTATTACAATATTTAGAAGACAATATATATTCAAGTGCTTGTTTATATGAGTCATATAACTGAACATCGACAGCATTAGCATTCTGACACTAAACAAATTTAAAAATAAAATTAATTAAGTTGTAATAAAAATAGCATATATTAAACAAAAGTATCTAATTAAAATTAAACCTGCCAATTAGGTTTTACCGTCGTGAGAACCAGAAATCTCAAACTGAACTTCCCAAACGTTTAACATCCATCAAACTTCGTCTCAAAATACAGCTGAACCTCACAAATGCCCCGTAAAGTAAAATTATGTATAGAATTTAAGAACAGGACTGCGTGGTGCAAAGCCAGCTAAACCAATAACCGTGGCCATTGTGCCAAAACCACAAACATACAATAGGACAGATCGCCGGAAGACCTCTACTTTGAACCTTTTACAAACACAAAAATAAATATGCTTTAGATACAGCTATTCTATGACAAAATTTATTCTGTTTAATACACTGACAGTGACCCTTTGACTTCAGTTACGGCCACCAACACGATACAAGATCACAAAATTTAAACTATTCAAACCAAAACGCCGATAACCTACAAACAGTCAAGTGTCATACGTGAACTAAAGACGTAAACAATGAATTTCCATGTGAATGGAAGACTACGTATGCCACCGCTGCTTCCATGACGAAAGACGAATGAATTTCAATACGCCGCCAGGAACTAGAAAAAGATTATTACAATTTACTGAAGAGGCAAGGTCACATGTGACTCCCAATGTTTTCCGAACGGTGCGATATAAGAAAACATATCGTATTTAATAGAAAACAGTAACTTGCACTGACTGTACATACAGATAGAAAATTTGAACTGCACTGTAAAACACCAGTAGGACCATACGTACCGAAATTTCAGCAATACCATATTTCCGTGACGGGTTTAACGAAAGGAAATGTAATTTGCAAATAGCTGTCTTCTGGGTTGTTGAGCCGTATAGTCTGCTAGAAGTTTACCGACATTTCTGGGCGTCGCCCTGATGATGGAGGCAGCATGCACCTCTGAAACGTCGACAATATTCTGCCAGACAACACAGCACAACCACCCAGAAGACAGCCATCTTCAAACTCGCAGCCATGAGAAACTGAAATCTCACGAACTTTTCATAATATTGTGACGTAACAATAGCCTTTAGGCTTAATTCTACTTTCTTAAACACTATTCTTCAAAACGTAATATGTTATTACCATTACAAATGCACTTCTATACCATGTGGTTGTATTGTGTTCAAGAAGTAGCAAACATGTCTGAGATATCAAACTGAAGATTTTCAACCAAGTATTTCAGAAGTGAATCCATGTCATCTTTTTAGTAATATCAATACGACCGACAGCAAACCCTTGAACATGAAGCCGTGTGGATGGTGCAGGTTGGCATACAAATATGTCATACAAGCGAAGGGAGTGCCATGTTCTGCCAATGGTACATTACTATTCAACATTTCACCGGTCTGATTGAGCCAAGGCATAAACTATGAAGCAAAACAAACCAAGTACTCAACTACTGCATATTCATGTACTTGACTTGTGCATTCATAACAATTTAATTTACATTCACCTGTATGTATGGAGCTAGTCATTTTCAGGCTTATATTTCTAAAACCACTGCATACGATAAACTTTATGTAACCTGAGACTCCTTATACAATCTCTCATGCAACCATTAAAACCAAGTAAATAATTAGTTGACTAAACCTTTCCAACAAACTTTCTTTTCCTGGCTAAATTCTGGCTAAACTATTCATCTTAAGAAATATTTTCTCCTTATACACTTTACCAGCGTATTTCTGCATGGCCATCATACAAATCTGGAAAGCACATAAAGAGAAAACAGGACAACTCTTCATTTACATGATTCGATTCAGTGGTTCTGCACCTTTTCAGCTGATAAATGTCTCACAGTGAGAATACACAAACACCTTTTCAATGACGAGAACTTCTGTCTTATCAGATGACCTAGACCATTTTGACCTGTCTTTGACAATGTATAAAATACATCTCATAACCCCTGATGATGTTTAAAGTATTTCTTGGGGGTACATGAAACCCTGGTTCAGAATCAGTAGTCCAGTGTCCAAGTCCAATCTTAACCCTTCCACCACCAACTCCGCATATATACACCGAACAGTCCACTTACCACAGCTAAGCCGGTGGTAGCATAGCTACTGGTTGGGACTCCCTAGCCAGAGAGGTCAGACTAAGACAGGTACCCTGGTCCTCCAGGTTGGGGGTTGGTCGCAAGGCTGACAACCTTGCACCATAAAAAGGAAGATGTTTCGAAACCTCAATCAAAGCCTCGGACAGACGGATCTAACAGAGGACCGAATGGAAGAGGAGAACTGAGGGGGCCATGGACCGAATACAGACCGGAGAGCCATAGAAGAAGAAGAAGTCTACTTACCACACTGCCAGTCCTGCATATGTAAGAACTGTGGAATGAACATCTGAAATCTACAAAAAACTACAAGGGTTGAAGAAAAAATATTTTAATCCTGAATTTTTTTTTGGGTTTGTTTGTTGTTTTTTTAGTCTTCAACCCTAGGATTGGTTGACACAACATTACGGGGATTTACTAGCGAAGATACCACGGTGGTTTCGCCTTGCCTTCCGTGGCCAGTCTTTATCCAACAGATAGGAAGAGAAAGGACGCGGACAAACATCCATGCCATGAGTGGGACTCGAACCCACAGTAGCAGCGACCAGGAGCACGAGCATCATGTCTCAGACTGCGTGGCTACTTCGGCCGGCAATCCTGTGTTACAAACTTTCAAAGAACTCAAAGACAATGCAAAAGCTTTACAAAATGTGGCAATGAAAAGGTTAAGAACAGACAACATGTCTTGCTGGCTGACACTTCACTGACACCACTTACATAAAATCAAACTTTCCACTTTTGTTTTTTCACACTGGACTGTAACACATATCTTTTCTTCAGCAAGATGACAGCAAAGCAATTCAAACCTGACAAACTGAAAGAAGAATGGTTGAAGGTTGTAATTATTTTATGTTGAAAATTATATATTATGCAGCTAACATAAAGACCAGGTGGTCAACTGTTAGCTTCTATGAATGTATTAGCAAACAAATAGCTAAATAAATACATAAATTCACACCTTACACATTCAGTTGACAATTTTATGTATCCTATAATAATAATAATAATAATAATAATAATGCATTCTTCTCTTGTAATAATACATATCTACTTGCTAAACATTAGACTTTCCCTCTGTTGCCATGGAAAGTCACACAATGCACAATACATATAGTCATTCCAGTCTGCCCCAATAGAATAAAAAAAAATGTTAGATTTTTTAATTAATATGTTTATACACTGTCCATGCAATTAGCTTACAGCTGAGTATAGCATGTGGGCTACAAATACCATATGGTACGTGTTACATATATTTCAATACTGTTGTCAGTAGAGCAAATTGATCATCTGCTAGGACAGGGCATTGAATTCTATCTGCGTGGACAAAATGGTGGAGCAACTGTTCTCCACTGACCCATTTGTGTGAAATTCCTGCCTACCGAGTTGATGAATTCATTTACATACATTAAAGTACTGAGAATAAAAGCCAGTAAGTACATATGATCAACACCTTGCAACAAGTCTTAAGTTACAATGTGGGAGGTGAATGGAATTAGCTCAGAATTATGTCCAATGAAAGGTCTTCGTTTTATATACCAGTGCAAAACCTTCAGGTTTCAAGCTCAGAGTTTGTATATACATGTACTGATCAATGACACAAGACAGCATAACTTGAAAATTTACTGCAGTTATAAAAGAAGAATCCAGAACTGTGTAGGGGTCTGACAACATCAACAGATACAATGATGATGACCTGATGCAACAGTTTCCAAGGAAGATCAAGCAGGAGAATCTTTGACAAAATGAATGATGCGTTATATTCCCAAGCTTTTGATATTACAGTTATTTTATTCATTTTTTTTATAAATAATGAAATCTAAGTATGAGGAATTGACAAGAAAACAATGAATATTACTTCCTTAATGAGGAGCTTCAGTATTTGTGCCTTTCACTTGGTACTGCTACACTGATTAGAACAAGGAGATTAAGATAGACAGCACATGTGCCATGCATTGAAAAAAGATGAAATGCATATAACACTTTGGTAGAAGTACCTCAAGAAAATACTCCTTTTTTATGAGCTGAAAGATTAGCAATTTATCTGTGAATATTAGAGCTTGTAAAGTGTTGAGTGATAAAATCCCTGAGTTTCTCTGAAAAATTTCTACATTGTCAATTAAAATGTTATCAGAGCTCATAAATACTAACTGTCTAGAGCACACCTGCAGCACACTCTAATTTGTCAAGACACTAATTTAGCTCATGAAATGTGTGTGTAAAACTATACATAGCAATAAATATGTATCTACATATAGATCTTTGCCCTATAAGAATGTAGGCATATGGAAACAATACATAACTCAAGCTGAATAAAACTTCTGATGATGAACCTGTATGTGTGTGTGTTTATTACAAATACTAATTATGAAAGGCATGATAAACCTTTTTGAACTATAATGTGCAAATATACAATTCTTTTTAAAATATGTGGCACATCTGAAACTTTGCAGTGTCACACTGGTTGCAGAACAGTGGCATAGATATAATACATGGAAATTCTTAAACAATTTTTCACACGTTTCTCTTTTCTGGGCAAATGCTTTAACTCTAATAACTTCCTGACACATCTCTCTTAATACAGTAACCTTAAAAATGACTAGCACTTTTCGCCTTGTAATGATACCGGAACGTTCGATTTATGACAACTACAGAAACAAATATTAAGAAAATATCTTTCACAGCTAAGGTAAACAATACTGTCTTCCAGGATGTTGGACTATGTAGTCTGGTACTCATCGTCCCCGATGTTGGAAGCAGCAAGCACCTCTGAAACGTCTGCAAATTTCTACCAGACTACACGGCGCAACATCCCAGACGACAATCTCCATATTCGCCGCCGTGAGAACCTGAAAAATCACCTGTCTTTCAAACGTTTTCTGACAGAAGCATGGGATGTAGGAATTGGCGCTTGTACGAACATAAAGTAATATATTTTTAAATAAAAATGCGTCTGAAATACATAACAGCAATTCGTACCTACCAAAAAAGATCTGCGGTGCTGTCCTACAAAATTTCTATCATGAAGCACAATTAAATTAACAAAAACGGGCGATGTACACAATCTCACTACTTCCATAAACCAAGGCTGCTAACTGCCGTAGCTAAACAGACAACCAATACTTGCTTAGAAATATTACTTTATATACATTTTAAGTATATTTTAAATTTTAGAATACTTTTTAAAGCCATTCACTTGCATTTATTATATATTTTCTGTAATTGCCAATAAATGAACATCCAGTACTTATATTTATGCACTTCTCTCTAGCAGAATAGCCAATATAGATTGTTTCTCACCGAAAGAAACTAGACTATTCTTTTACGACTTTCTTACATTTTCCGTAAACACTTCGTTCATTGTGCACTAAGATCAATATTTAGTTCAATAAATTACAAACTTAAGTACTTAAAATTATTTCAAATTTATTTCTAATAGGAA